CAATAGTCCCCAAGTCCCCATTCCTACCTCCAGCCCCACCCAACACCCAGCACATCCCACAGTCTACCAGATGTGTCCCTTCACTGCCATCTCAGATCCCACCCCCTGCTCAGGAATCTTTTATTGTTTCTCATGCCCTCCACGTGAGCAGGAGGATTCTGAGCCTTCTAGCTGCCCCGGGATTCCCTCCACCCTCCTGTTCCTCCTTGACCTCTCCTGACACCTCAGCTTCTTCTGAATTAGCATCTCTTTCCCAGGCCCCAATTTTTCCCTATCTTTGCATCTACCCCCCACCCTGGTTTATACCTATCCCCAACCCCATCTCAGCCTGCAGAAATCTCATCCATCCTTCAGTTCCCACAGTAGTTGGTGTTTGTTTGGTACCAGGGGTTGAACCCAGGGGTGCTTTACCATTGAGCCACACCCCAGCCCTTTTTAATGTCTTATTTTGTGACAGGATCTTGCTAAGTTGCCTAGGGCCTTGCTAAATTGCAAGGCTGGCTTTAAACTTGCCATTTTCCTTCCTTAGTCCCTGGGGTTACAGGCCCGCATCACCTCACCTGGCCCCATATTGATTTAAACGTACCTTTTCTTTTCATGTAAACTTTTCTGGATTCCTTTGCCCATCCCTGGACATAACACCTCTCCTATTTTACACTCTTTCTCAAGTAAACTGATGACATACCAACTCTGGGGTCAAGGGAATGAGAATAGCTCATAATCTGGCTCCCTACCTACTTCTGAGCAGGCGATGCTGATGTGACCACTGTTCACATTGGTCTAGTGAACTCGCCTTTCTTTAAGTTGTGTTGTTGATGTAGATGACTTTGCCCGCAATATACCTTCAGAGATCCCACTGTAAGAAGGAAGTAAAGTGTCAAAAATCAGATTATTCCTCAGCCGTAAAGAAGAATGACTTTATGACATCCACTGCTAAATGGATGGATCTGGAGACTATCATGTCTAGGGAAATAAGCCAATCTCAAAAAAAAACAAAGCTCTAAAGTTTTCTCTGCTATGTGGGTGTGACTCACAACAATAGGGAGGAAATAATAGAAGTTCAGTGGATTAGATAGAGAGGGATGAAGGGAAGCGAGGGCAGGATAGGAATAGGAATGCTAGTGGAATGAACCTGACCTAGCTTTCCTATGTACACATATGCACATACTACAGTGAATCTCAGCATCGTGAATATCCACAAGACCGGGCTCTTAATGGAAATAAGACATATTCCAGGCTTGTATAAATATATCAAAATAGATCCTACTGTCAAGTATAACTAAAAAGAATAAATAAATAAATACCGGCTTATTCCTATTGGGATCAGGGAGAGCCCCTGGCCCCTTAATTTTGGCAACATGTGGGAGGCAATGGAAGGCACGCATGTCCGAGTCTTCTGTGCTGAGCACTGCCTCGTTCTTCAGCAGGTGAACAGAAGCATCCAGCAGAGGTGTGGCCTTCAGTCTGAATTTTCTAGCACCACACCAGGGCCAACTACGACTCTGGGTCCCTCACATCCCCTACTTCCCAAGTCCAACAGGGCAGGTGACTCAGAGATTGAGGCAAACCAATTCAACCTCCAGTAGGTTTCAGTGGAATAAGAGAAGTCGTGGACCTTGCCACTCATAATGAGTTACCCCAGTAACCCCTTTCTCTCAAAGCAGAAACAAGGTCTATTAGCAGAGCATGTGTTTTCCATAAGGACCACTAGGTGACACTCTAGCGCAACTAAAGACATCTTTGCTTGGAGGTGGGGCAAAGCCACCACTTAGCAGGATTTATGAAGCGGCATCTCTCCTCTCAGTATTACCATTTGACAGGAACACATCTAGAACAATTTGATCCATGGCAAGTTTGCTCTTTCTTCAGTGCTTAGGATCTTAGCCATCACAGCAAACCAAAGAACACTTTCAGATTTCTACTGATTTATGTTGGTATTATGAGTTGGACTACGGTCAGACTTTGACATTTAAATTCAAAAGTGAACATTGAATATCGATCTCCTTGCTTTCCAGTGACTTGATGCAATTAAAAATGTTTTTTGGCTCTCATGGGCTGAAGCCACAAAGGCTCTCTCTCTGCCCAGCTGGCAATTTTAAAAATAAGAAAGGAACTGGATGCTTTTTAACAGCTCTTAAAAACCCTGGGGTTATACTAAGTCTGGTGCTAAAGCAAGAAAGAGAACTGACCACATTCTGTAACCTTCCCTCACTGATCATTTCTTAAAGTGAAACATTTTCTGATGTGTCTGTTTCAAAAAACCTAATATCAAAAATGTCGCTGCTTATATCCCAAAGGTGTAGCAAATTTAAGAAATTAGAGAGAATCCTTTTACCTAAATTATGCACACATAATTGAAGAGACTATGGCAGTTTTGATCGTGGGTTACTATTTGCTCTTTGAAAAAAGAGTTCCCTTGAATGTACAAAACCAGAAGAGAAATTGGGGTTCACCAGTCAGCACATGTACATACTGCCCCCACCCCTAATAACCCACGCACCTTGGACCACTCTAACCCTTCATCTTCAGTGTACACAGGAGAAAAGGAGTGAGAAGTGGAAATCAATTGCCCTGTTTTCCACCTACAGACTGCTCAGGGCAAGGTCTAAATTTAACCACTTTGCACTTCAGCCCATGAGTCATGCTGTTATTTCCACGTCTCTTTTACCTCCTTCCGCCTCTCACCCGAAAGTTTTAGATGCCAGTTTATTTAGAAAATGGTGCTGTTGGTCATGAGAGACCACCAAATCCAGTGCTTTGGATGGAACTGGAGGACATTATGTTAAGTGAAATAAATCAGACATAGAAAGACAAATAGTGCATGCACTAACTTATATGTGTAGCTGAAAAGAAATGATCTCATAGAATTAGAGTCAAATAAGACATATTCCACACTTGTATAAATATATCAGAACCTGGGAAGGATGTCAGGAAAGGAGAGAAGGAGAGAGTGATAGGTAATAGACTTGACTGGTGGGAACATGAGGTTAAGGGAATCATTCTATAAACTGGGCCCAGTGTGTGACCCCACATGCTTTCTTTCAAAAAGCAATTTACTGGCAGCCTGGCCCTGCTTAAATCAATAGGATGTTACCTTCCTCAGCAACCAATCTGTTGTCTGCAGGAGAAATCCAGACCAGAAATGCACATAGGGAGAACATAAGTTACCCTGAAGGGGAGGGGGGCCTTTTATGACCCTTACACAGACCAGGTTTCAGAACTCAGAGAGAGAATTCCTGCTAACCACAAAATCTGTAAGAACAGGTTCCAATTAGAACTGATTGACATGGGCCCAAGTGACCTAGAGTTGTCCTAAACCTTTACTAAGCATAGTGGGGACTTGAAAATCTGATGTCATCCTGTTGTCAAGTCAAAAGTCAAGAGGTGGACGGGAAGAACTCTCTGGAAATGTCCCTGGAACTCCCAATCAAACTGGAGGGCAGGAAAGGCAAAACGTTCCTCTCCTCTGTGAGGACCCACTCTCTCCCTTTAGAGTATCCCCTTTCCTATCACGTCTAATAAACGCATGCCTGCTACTCTGAGCAACATGTCTGAAATCTTTCTGGAATAATCACAAGAATGGGTGAGAGAGGACTGCTGTGGCTGCCTCAGCTCCAAGGCAGGCGTTTGCCTGGTAACAAGAGGATGGTGAACAGGCATGGGGTTGCAGTTGTGTAGAAAAAAATGATTTTTGTTTGTTTTGTTTTCCACCCAGTGCTGGTATTGAATCCAGGGTCTCACCCATTGCTAAGCAGAAGGAATAATTCTAATGTTCTACAGCACAATAGGGCAGCTATTATTGACATTGAGTTGTGTATTTCAAAATAGATAGTACAGAGGAGTTTGAAGAAATGATAAATGTTTATTTGTTATATATATATATATATATATATATATATATATATATATATATATATATTTGTGTGCGTGTGTGTTTACACAAATCCAGTGCTTTTCTCTCCCCAGGTGGAGTCTGAACACCAGTCCTTACTCCAGTCCCACAGCACTGGCTTCTGGGCCATTTCAGCAAACAATGATTAATCTGTCATTTGGTAGAGGTGGGATGAAGGGGGCTTCTAACTGTTTTGTTGACCAATTGGATAGTCCCTCCTTTGAAAATCATTCTTTTTTACACTCAAGACTTTCTCTTTATGTATCAATTTTTGCTTATGTTTTAAAATTTACTCTTTGGTTGTTTTTGTGGCACTAGGGATTAAATCCAGGACCTTGCACATGCTAGTCAAGCGCTGCTTCCCTGAGTGACATCCCCAGCCCCGTGTGCCAATTTTTGAAGTACTGAATTGGGCTCCTTTGAAGATTTTCCTTCACCTCTGACAGTCAAGTGTGCAGCAAAAAATAGTTACCCACCAAGTGCTCATAATTCATCCTTTCTTTTGGGGACCCCAGGCAGTTAGGGAAAACCACGAAACTAGTTCAGGTCAGTGAAATGGGAACAGAAATGCTGTGTGTTATTTACAAGCTGTGAAAGAGAAAAGCCTGCTGGCTGTCTTCTGGAATCTTCCTTTCCTTGCTCCAGCAACCAAGACCAACCCTGGAAGTTCCAGATGGCACAGCGACAAGATGGTGGAGCCTCTGCCCCTGAGCTTCTGAGGGACTACAGAGAACAGACCCATAATGGACATACAGTGTGAGTGAGAAATAGACCTGTGTGCTGTGAAGCCACTGAGATTTGGGGGTTAGCATGTTATTTAAGCATAGCCTGACAAACCACACTAATATGCACATAGTTCATAATGCACAGAGTTCTGCAGCCAAAAAATCTGTTGTGAATTTAAATAAGTGATAGATGACTTAAAAGGATTCTCTTTGGTGACTCAATGGAAAACTTGCTTCAGCAGGCTCTTAAAACTGTAATCCTAATAGCTTACATATAAAACATTCTGCTTCAAGACAAAGTTATCAGTTGGATAAGAAGCTGATTTTTTGGAAGAGATGGGAGATCATACTGGCATTCTTGCTACAATTCTCAAAAAAAATTCAAAGACAAATTAATTTCAATCCAACACACTTTATTCTTTTCCTTTTTTAATTTTTTTACCTTAATTTTCAATGATCAAGTATTCAAGATGTTGTAAACCAAGGTTGATTAGTACATTGACAATCGGTTTCATCGAGCACAAGAAAATCGAACATCTTTTAAATTACCCTAACAGGTCTCCAAATAAATATTAATCCTAAAAATCACAAAATCAAACTTTTTATTTAACAAACTAAAAACAGCCTTTCGTCACAAGCACACCTCTATACAGAAAAATCACGCACACAGATCACACGCTCCACTGAGATCCTAACGCCAGTTTATCTGACTTGGTATTTATTTGACACAGTATTACGTTTCCTTAAACTAAAATGTTAGAGGTTGATCTTCCCACTTCATGCTTCTAAATTAACAGTTGGTGTTTTGGGTAGAGGTATATATCTTAAGTAAAATGCCCACTATCAAGTTTTACCAATGATTCTTCTTTTTAATTTCTAGATACAAACTTGAAGCTTCTTTCATTCACCACTTTGGTTTAATATGTCCTTACAATTACTTTAGCCTTCAATAACCGTTTCTCCTTCAATTTTGACATGTAGAATAGACTACCAGGAAAAGATGACACCCTCAAAACCTCACTGCTAAAAACACCTCACAGGGCTGTAGGGTTTTTAGAGGAGAACTAAGAAAAGATCATGTGAAATAGTTTTCTTTTACCTTTCTCTGAAATTATTTTTAGCAGCTGATTATTCTAGCTGGCTAAACTAAATATCAAAAGCACTGAGTTTTCCATAGAAAAGTATTCCCTTCTGAACTCTTCATTTTTGCAGCATAGAGTTCATAGATTAACTGTTGAAATGAGAGTAATGGGCGCTTGTTTTCTGGGTATTTTTCCAGACTTCCAAATGCAAAGCACATGCAACCCTTTAACAGTGAAATACTGTGAATTCAGTAGTGAACATGCATCATTTTTAGCACCAAGGCATTTTTTTTTTTCAAGATTGCAGAAGCAAACAGCTAAGGAAGGTTTTGGTCACATTAGAACCCTCCCTAGGGATGAGTTAAAATGAAGTGCTTAAAGTGAAACCTCTTTAAACATACACACATCTGATTCCAATGCAACAAGAAGTCTGAGACAGGTGTAGTCGGCAGCAATCCTGGAAGATGAAGGAGAGAAGACAGAAAAGATAAAGTGCACAAGGAAACTAATCTCGCCTGCCAGCCACACATTCTCTTTATTATGGAAGAGGAAACACACTGATGTGTAAAGGCTACCTACTAGTCTGTCAAACAGAGCATTTGTAAGCTGTCCTCTAGGCAATTCTGGGGTTACACAGTATTTTGATATCTGCTACTTAGAATACTCAGTATGCACCCATTTATCAATGGTTAAGAGTCTTGTTCTCTATCATCTATGATATTTTAAGCACACACACAGAGGCCACCACTCTAGGGTTGGACTAACCTCCTGTTCCCTGGTACAATACAGAATTCCCACAAAGATTTCAGGTCTATCCAAACTGTGAAGCTTCTCCCTTGTGCACAAAAGGTTTCTACAAAACAAGCTAAAAAAAAAAAGAAAGAAAGAAAAGAAAAAAGCATTCTGGCTCCAAGTCCACCAAAGAATGCAAGCTGGGATTGTGGACTGAAGAAACATTTTCTCAGTGGTTAGTGAACATATAGGATGGCCTGACCTACACAAGCCCTACGGGGCGGGGGAAGGGAGGAAGCAGCTCCCTAGCTCCCTTCTCTGAAGCCTGATTCTTCCAAGTCATGTGTGTGAGAAATAAAAAGTCTGGCGGTCCATTTTCAAAATATTTATTTATACCAAGTCAGCCTTAATTGAGTCCAACTGTAGCCATTCTAACTGTAGCCCTTCCCCTTTGCCTGCCCCAATTTTAAAATTAACCAATCAGGTAAGTTGTAACCCTGACTTCTCCAATCAGGGCAAAGGGCAGCCCTAAGACTTAGAAATGCACCGACTGACTGCGGGGTAAGCAAGCCTGCAGCCAGCCGGGTTCTGATAGCATGTGGTTCTGGCAGAAGTAAAGTTTTGCTTTGCTCACCCACTTTGGAGCACGAGTTTGATTTCTGGCGGCACCTCCTTATTTCTAACATGTGCTGCAGTGCACTGTCACAGCACTTAAGGTAACAATCAGGGTCAGTGGTTTGGTTTGTATTTTTGTATATATTCATTTTTTTATAAATATTTTTTTAAATATTTATTTATTAGTTTTAGGTGGACACAATATCTTTATTTTACATTTATGTGGTGCTGAGGATCGAACCCAGTGCCTCGTGCATGCCAGGCGAGCGTTCTACCACTGAGCCACAACCCCAGCCCTTCATTTTTGAGTCTTTACTAGGAATCTTAAAATTCATGTTTGCCAATAATAGTAATAGAAAGGTTAATATTCTGAAGGAAAGAAAAAAAATACATGTGAAATCCCAAAGCTCCCATTCAACAAATCTGAACTCTTCAGAAGTTCTGCTGAGACTAGATGTTAACACCCAAATTGGATTTGTTCTATGTTAAATATGAACTATAAAAATATTTGAGGTATTGTTTTGACAAGTGATTTTTAATATTACATTTGGCTAAACAAATGAAATTTACCTTGAGAAATCTAGTTAAACATCAAATGCTGATGGTTCCTACAGATGTTTTCTACTATCTACACAAAGAAATAATAATGTCTCTATTCTTCAGAAACAGTAATACATAATATAATGAAATAACTTCACGATTTTACAATCATATCTTGCTTTGTTAACCGAAAGCTATTTTCTGCACTAGGTAGCATAAAAAGTGAACAATGGAGTGAGAGAAACCTATATCTTAATTTGCCCCTCTGTACAATCCTAAATAAGTTACTTTACCTTTCACATTCACATCTGTTTTTTAAAATTAACAAAAACAAGGTTGGGGGTGTAGCTGCATGGTGGAGTCTGTGCTTAGCACATGTGAGGCCCTGAGTTCAATCCCAGCACCACCAAAAAATAACAAAAACAATAAACTCCTTGCAAGTTATTAAAAGGATGAAGATGAATGATGTACATTTAAGTGTTTGACAAAATAGCACTAAAAATAGTCAACACTCCGCAAATAATCATTTGTGTCCTCTCTGCTCCTCCTTTCCTCTCACTCCCCAAACCATGATTCTGAGTGACTGTTAACTGTTTTCAAGAAATAAATCTACCTACCAGGAATAAGGATTTTATACAATGAACAAAATCAAGAATGTGTTCCAACCACCCACCCACTCTTTGGGTGTTTCTAAATTAATGGACTCAAGGATTATATTTGCATATTAAAGGCAAATAATACAGTAATTTACAGAGTTGGTAAAGGAACAAGATGACCTTTTGCCAGAACAAGTAATTTAAAGCCTATGTGCATGAAGAGTGACAATTAAAACTTATAATGGGAGTGTGACTATAAAGTAACATGACCAATTTATTAACAAACACATAAGACCTTATATACACAGTTAGATTGTATCATCTACAAAATAGTCGCTTAATTGGCTATGTCACATTCCAATTATGCTACCAGAGCTCAAAGCATTTGGGGAACAATTCTGAATCGGTACATATTCCAAAATAATCACTCCTTCAAGACTTATACTACTTATTCTACATTTTTACCAACAACACAGCAATGATATACCTAATATATATAAGTATCAGGAAGTACAATATTAACATGTGGTGCACATTTCTGATCAATTTCTTTGAGCTCTGGCCCAATCACCCCAAAAGATTCCAGGGATTTCAGAGGCTAATTGGTTAATAGTACCTGACAAGTAGCTGGTGCCCAGTCGATGACTGCGGAACTGGTGACCTTTTGAGGAAGAACAATAATTACTCATGGTGAGTCCAACAATCTTAATACCAAAAAACAGTGCCAATTCCACCAGAAGTCTTAGTGTGGTATCTCAATGATCAGAGAAAAATTAAGAAAACACCACCCCTCCCCATTCTACACATCTACAGCTCCAACACTGAAGGAAATTTTCCATTCTAAAAAGAATCAAGGTCTTCCACAGAGGTAAAGAGGAACCCTGAGTCCCCAGAGTTCCAAACCGTCAGTGTACACCACATTGACCAAAGTTTGACAGATACCAGTGGAACTACAATCTTAGCCCAGCAAGAGAGCCAAGCCCAGGCAGGGGATGAATGGAAGTCCCTGTCACCTGAGACACTTGCAGACTTTGTTTAATGTAACAGTGATTACCCTCTCCGCAAACTGCTTGCAACCAAGAGAACCATTTGAACAATGTCATTCCGAAGTGAAGAGGAAAATACTCTTAACCAAGGAACAGACACATGATTTCACCTGTGAAGCCACATAAGGATGATTCAGCCAAAAAGCCTGAGTCATGGGACAGTCTGCCAATTACCACTGTTGTATGGAAGAGGGCCAACCAGACAAGAACACGTTTCCCAAGTTAGCTCTATACCTGCATAGGCTTATGTAGAAAGACTACACAATTCTATTTGTGTTTGGACCTTTCAGTCTCTCACAGTTAAAGCTCATGAGTAACTTTTTGTCAGTCCATTAGTGCTGTCAGGAAGCACCTATCTTAAGAAGCACATAAAAAGCATCCTATGCGGCACCTAAGTCTAAATAATATGCTGGGAGGTTCTGGAAAGAATGATGGATAAGGAACCCAAAGCGCCTTTAAAAACAGAAAAATCCTCTCTCAAAATCACGGCAGGCATTCCACTGGAAGGAAGGAAAGGTAAATCAAACTGATTCTAACTCTGATAAAGTAGAATTCATGTCTACTTTAAGACTGGCGTAGTTTAAATCATTTTCTCTACTTAGGATCATATTTCAGGTCCAGCCCAGAGATCTCCCTCCTCCTGTATTCAAAGTGACTTTCATATCCCAGGTTTAGCTTTCCTGATTTAATTACTCATTTCTAGCAGCAGCCACAGCAATTTTCTGTACAGAAAGAAAGAAAATAATACAGATTTCTCCAGTGCTTTAAGCATATAACTAAAATGCTCAGGTGGGACTCAATCTTACCTCTGGAGTTTCTTCTTCACCTATTTTGAATGTCAAGGTTGCAATTCTTAACTAATCTTATGTCAGTCCTTACGAGCTAAAGGGATTTCTGCAGCAATTTCCTTGGATGAGAAAGCCATCAGTTTCTTTCTTCATGATGCATCTCAAATTAATTTCTAGCCATGTTATGTAGCACACTAGTTTTAAAGCCCCTTATAAAGAATTCTGGAGTTTGTATTCAAGCCTTCAGATTTATGATTCAGCAGCCTCTAACTACCTTATGATGGGGAAGACAAACTGAAAGAGAATGTGTCCTATGAAATGACATAGCTGTTCCTCTCACCATGCTCTGCATGTGGTTCCTTTGAAGCATCCGAAAAATTCTACCTGATTGACAACTCCGCTATGGCTTAAAATGCTATTAACAGTACTTTAAGGAACCTCAGCTTCTTCCTCTTTTCAAAATCATATCTGCTTTATTCTCTATAAGCAAAAGTAACATGCTGCACTTAACATTTTTCCAATTAAATTGCATAGTTGAGGCAGATTCATTTGTGCTTTGTAGCAGAACTCACAGTAGGTGTTCATGTCTAAAAACTTGGATTTGCAAGTGCAAGGTCAGGGTCAGGTTCACCTTTGTTGGGAGTGTATGCTAATGATATGCAGAGCCATTGCCTTTCCCACTATTTTTGTTAACCGGGGACCTCAGCCTTATGTCATATTGGAGCATGAGCATTAAATTAACATAGCAAAAGTGGTAACAAATGTATCTAAACTCCTCCTTGGAGAAAAGAGGGGAAAGGCTCTCAGTCTTGTTGAGGTATCCAGCCCTCAATCGACAGTGGCTGTGTATACTGAGTTTTTGTTGGTTTGAGGATTGTATCTGTTGAGGTTAAAAAAAGAGAGAAGGCACAGGTGTTTCTCAAGCCACCATATTCAACTCAACCAACAAAACAAGTCTTCCATGTTCAAGCTTCCGGAGTGAGGCTACATGGCAGCAGGGCTCTCTTCCAGCCCTGGGTCTGGAGAACTTATTGCTTCTGGGAAGGGCCCCGGGTAGGTCTGTGCTGTGTATGGGATCCCTTTTTGTAGAGCAGTTTCTTCGTGGAATTCTCCCTGGGTGCTGAAAGCTGGACATGATCTAGTCCGGGCATTCTTCTCGGCTTTGTTGGGCTGGCCCACGAGCTCGCTCACGGTGCTCAGTGGGAATTCTCTGCACCTCTGCCTCTGCAGTTCATCCTCTTTGTATTTTATGGAGTACCAGGCCAGAAAAATAAAAATAAAGCCCACAAATTTGAGGCCAGCTGCCAAACCAAAGTAGACAAAACGAAATGATGTCACGTTGTACTCCCAGCAAGAGCCCTGTACCCCACATTCCTGTTGCCAGAGCATGCAGGTGGTGTCAATAACTGCTCCAAAGTAGATCGGAGTAGGAATGTATGCTAGGGTTGGGGAGAGAAAGAAAACCATAAAGATTCAGTACATCTTATACAAGAAATCTGACTTGTAAATTAGCAAGGTACTTGTTTGCTCAAAAACCGGCTAAAGGAAGTGAATCTCTTGTGTTACTTGATTTTTTAAAAGATATATCATCTAATCACAATTTATTTTAAAAACATTCCCTAAATGGTGAACACTTAAAATCTTCCATGTTGCAACTCAGAATGTGTTACTGGTTTTTAGGATAGTTAAAAAGTGTCTATTGTGTGTGTGTGTGTGTGTGTATACATACACATGTGTAATCATCACATTGTACACTTCAGATACATTTTTTATTTGTCAGTTATAATTCAATAAAGCTGGAAAATGTCTATTGTTAAGGATGCAGCTACAGAATCCTTTTAAACTTCTAAAAAATGGATTTTGTCATAAATACTTAAGAGGCTAGAACACTTCATTGCCCACCAAAATTCAGTATACCTAATTCTTGTGGGTTGAGTCCTAGTCCTTGGATGTAGAAAGAGGAAGAGGCAAGTCTTGTCCCTCTTAAGTCAGACACCACATCAGATGGCAATTTTAGTATAAGGGCGCTGAGGGTATGGCAATAATTATGGCATAAAATTCATCTTTGAAGCTTATAAAACATCCAGATGAGTAGCAGCTTTGTTGTTTGGGACACTGTAGAGACATTGCTTTGATCCCAGCAGACAAAGCCTACCCAGTAGATGTCCTTCATCACATGCTTTGTCAAATGTGCCCTGACCCGTAACTGGTTCATCTGACAAATATCCACCCCTCCTTTAAATTCCAGACTCAGAAACCACTCTGTGCCCATTGCGATTTGTTTATTAACTATCACATACTGTTTTATTAAATCATTGGTCAATTTGTCACCCCAATGGCACAGCCACACCTTTTATGCTTTCCTGCCCAAGGATCTATCAGGACAGCCAGAGAGCGTCAGCAAGAGGGCACAGAGGAGGCACTGGCTTAACTTTACCTCCAAATCCATCCCAAATAACCCCAACTCCATGGCATCAGAGAGGAGCCGAGAAAAAGGAAGGAACTTTTATTTTTCTTTTTCTATTCAGCCACCCCTTTGGTTAACAAATTTCCTTTTTGAAAATAATACTTTTTAGTTTTCAATGCAAAGTATAACTATGTGTACACATGTCCAAATTTCCTTTAACCAGCATTCTTTTTAAAACCAGCACCTTCAAAGTCACCAGTAACAGAAGTCAAGCCACTCATTAAATGCAACTAGAAGCATTTTCCTTCTGGGTTTATTGGAAAGTGCCCATTAATGGAGTAGGCCATGAACCCCAACATACACAGAGTGAGAATTCAGAGAGGATTAATGCTTTAAATGGGGAAGACGATGCCATTTTGAAATGTTTTATTCTTCAAAACTGAAATTTGAATCAAAAACCCTTCCCCCAACCCCTGTGGAAAATAATAATGATTACTAGGGGGAAAACAGCAGCTGAAGAAAATGATAGGCTGACACTAAAGAAGGAAAAGATAAGCTTGATGAGGAAGTCAGTTAGCAACACACTGAGGCAACAGGCTTCTCTTCACAGGTCCCATTCGCTGTCCCAAGACCTCACTGGGGGGGCGTCGCCTTTGAAAAATTATTCTTTCTATGCTCTGTTCACAGTTACAAAGCACTAAGGAATGCACATGTGTTCTCTCTCTTTACCAAGATTTGAACCCACACTTGACAGTAATCTCTGGGTGTTGCTTTGGGGATTGATTATTCTTTTTAGAGTTTCTTTACATCAAAAAACTTGGTATGCTCAATCCAAGTAAATTATTGTAAAGAACAAGAAATTGAAATTCTCACAAGTAAAATGAGCACCAATTTATCTCCTTTCTAGATTAAAAAAAGGAGTAAAGGGACCAAAAATGCTAAGATAACAAACCGATTAAAAATGTCTTCATTGAATATTTCCTACTGTGCAAAACTGTCTGGGGAATTTTGCCCAAGTTTATGTTCACAGTCAAAAAGAAACTGACCTAAAATCAGTTTTGTTGAGGTATTTTTTTTTCATCAAATAAACTTGTCAGCTTTTAGTTCAAATGAAAAAAAAATAATAAGGAAATGTACCCTCACCACAAACCTGTAAAACTCCTAGCTACGAATGGTAACAAATGACTTGACTTGCCATTTTTAAAGGACAGTGAGTATTTGCCAGTTGCAAGGAGGAACTAAGAAGCACGCTTGGAAATTCAGGGACATACCAAGTGTTCGCAACAAAACAAACTGCATTCCCAGGGCAAAAGGTCTCTCTTCATCTTCCACAGACCTACAGTGAAGGAAGAAAGAAATGTTTTAAAATTGTAGTCCCAAGAAAAGACATCAAATCAAGCCTGTTCTGTGTGGAGCGAGGGATCAACCGGATGCTGGGCAAACATATTCAATCCACTAGAATTTAGTAACAAAAGCCAAGAAGACTGCTGTTGGGAGCTCACAGAATAAAGGTCTCTCCAAAACGACTCAAAGGAAAGTCTGATTAACTCTAATTGTTTCTTTGTAAGCCCTGGTTGAGGCTCAAAGGATCTCAGCTGAAGGGGCAGAAGCATCTCTGATTGGACTTACAAAATCAGTTCTTTTTAAAAATTTCATAAAATTTTAAACATACCATTCACTGTCTCTGTTCACCTAAATATTGCATTCCCTGTTTCTGTTCACCTGTAATTTCCTGATTGGTAGAAGTGTCCAATGAAAACCACTCCCATAATTCTCCCAGAGGAGGAAAAAGGTAAAAGAAAGAAAGAATAAATGACAAAAAAAAAAAAATATATATATATATATATATATATATATATATATATATATATATATATTTTTTTTTTTTTTTAAACCCAAGTCAAAAACCATAGAAAGCCAGTGCTATAGGATATGCCTGTAATCCCAACAGCTCAGAGGCTGAGGCAGGAGGATCGCAAGTTCAAAGCCAGTCTCAGCAGTAGTGAGGTACTAAGCAACTCTGTGAGACCCTGTCTCTAAATAAAAAAGACACAATAGGGCTGGAGATTTGGCTCAGTGGTTGAATGCCCCTGAGTTCAATCCCTGGTACCCCACCCTGCCAAAAAAAGAAAGACTAAGCTCCTCCCAGCCACATTTTCTGTTTTTTTTTTTTAATTAAACAAAGTGAAAAATGATATTACTTAAGTAAGCAAATATATTAATGATTCTTATGGTTTGTTAAATGATGGACCTGGCATGGTGGTTCCAGCTAACTGGAAGGCTGGGGTGGGAGAGGTGATTGAGACCAGAGGCTCTCAACCCACCTAGACAACACAGAAGACCCTGTCTCAAGCAAAACAATGACATACCTTATCCTTTCTATCCCTTAAACAATGAAAATTTTCTGAGGACCAGTATCTTTGTTGTCTTTTCTCTAAATTCTTTATGCCTCGTAGCAAATTGCCCAGTTGTGCCCATGTGGTTGTTACTCTATAAATATCTGCCAGTGGAGGGACGGGGTAACTAAACAAGGGGGCCTTTCCTGTGCTGTTACCAGACTCCCAAGGAGCAGCTTTTCTGGGAAATGTCTCCCTTACTATCCCACAGGCAAGAAGTCAGAACATGAAGGTGCAACGTGCCCACTCTCAGTAAGGGTGACATATCAGCAGGTACGTCCTGCCAGGTGCCCAGCACGGTGGGGTTCCAAGGAGCCAAAGGAAGAAGGAGGACTCCCTTCTTCACATACTCATTGTCCTGCATCCCTAGTCCCCCTAAATCCACCAATGGTTTGCTCTTCTTGCTCAACATGCTGCCTTTCCTTGCCCAGTGCGGCCCTTACTGTAAATACCAACACATTAATTCAAATGTGCCAGCATCAACATTTTTAATAGAACAAAATTAGCTTTCATGTCTTCTTATAAACAACAACAACAACAACAAAAACACACAACAGGATATATAATACAGCAAAAAAAGCAAGATCCTGAATAAGTGGAAAATCACATTTCCCAGTCGAACTCTGATTCCATTCCAAAATTTTATATGATAGTAAAACTAATGAACTCAGCATTTCAAAATGCAGGCCCAGCATAATTCATCACTGACCCAGGAGGTACAGGACTGTCTACAAAGTTGGAGATAATAGCTTTTGTGGTATGCATGATTTAGCAACTTTACCAAATTGCTTCCTGCCCCGCTCCAGGGTCTGGCTTCCCTGCAGAGGTAACATGGGGGATGGCTTTCAATTCCTGAAGTTGAGCCTCTGAGGTCAGAGACTTAAGGAACCAAAGAGACTAGAACCCAATCAAAGAAAGTTCTAGAATATGAAATGTTGCAACCATTCTTTCCCTTCCTAACATGGAAATACTCACCTCTTGAGCTCCCCAGGAGCACTCTCCTGAACCAGGGAACCTTACTCTCCTCTCCACTGTGCCCTGTCATCCCTTGTCCTGGGATATGTGCTCTGGCAATGCTATTTCATCTCCCACCCCTGGAGCCCAGTGCTGTTCTCACCTGAGTGTCACTATAATGGCTGACGGTTGGGCACATGCTGTGATGAAGGTGACTATGAAAAGAAAAACTAAGAATGGGATCAGGGTGTTGCAGGTCCGTTTGCACTTCCCTGACACAGCATAGCCATTCTCGTTGAGATATGTTTTGACGATAACCACTCGGAGCTGGCCTCGCTGTCCCACTGTGGGCGGAGTGATCACTTGTCTACTTTGGACGCAGGTGCATTCTGTATAATTCCGAATCTAAGTGAGCAAATACAGTTAGGTTGTGTGCCAATCAAAAGGAAAATGTGGCATAGGACTATTAAGACAAAGTGAACTAAAATATTCTACAATAGTTACTGCAGCATTTTAAAAATGCAAAATATTTCACTGAAAACACCCTCCTCACTGATAATAGTAAGGAATCAAAGCATGTGTCTAACAATATCAGAATCTGCCAGTTAAAACTGCTTAAACCTAAACTTTTCTAAGAAGCTGTCAACAATTCTATGATGTTTACATTCTGTAAGCTCAATTTGGGTTGTAAACCTAAGCTGCTCAGATTGTTTGAACTCTTGGGCTTTCCAATTATAAAAGCCTCTTAGAAACAGGAACCCAGCCTGATCTTTACTCACGCTTACCAGAGTACCTAGCACAACCCTGATCACCTACCACAATGCTGAGCACATAGTGGAACTGGGTCTAAAGTAAATATCTGCTAAATAAATGGAAAAGAATTCGTAACACAATCATGATGGCTTCAGTACAAATAATAGTGAGCTTCTCATTAGTTGTTCTAGTTTAAACACCTTTTGAATCTCCTTTAGTTATCTGGTGAACTCCAAGCTATGGATGAATAACCCACTCCATGAATGTAACTTAGGTCTGGTGACCATGGCCCAGCTCAGTGCTGTTCCTAGACTTTGTCAGGAAGCACTGGTGCACCCAAAATCCCTTGTCCATTTTTTTCCAACAAATATCTGTGAGTCCACACTGACAGGCTAGATGCATTCAAGGGACTGATGCTACAGAAGAGTAAAAGAGACAAAATTCTCTGTTAACTACCAACATTTTCTTAGTGAAGTGAAAAGTGAAACTTCATTGGGTGTTACTTATACAAAAACCAAAATAAGCCAACAAATGTTTACTCGGTCAATTAACCTTCCTTGTTTATTATGTTGCATTTTACTGAATGAAAATCAGTGAACTGGTCCATGTGGTGAACACTTGGAGCAACAGTAAGAATGGGGGTAAAGGTGGGTGCTGTTTGACCATCTTTGTACAAAGGACCTCCAGTCTTCTTAAAAGAAAGAAAGGAACCTGAGAAAGAGCTTGGCCACTGAGAGGGACAGATCTCACCCTCCCTCTCAGCACAGTCACACACTGGAGCTCACCAATTACATACAGGGAACCAGCAACAGGATTCTCAATTTATCACTCTAGTTCCAAACTCAGAAATCAAAAAAAAAAAATGACATCTTCAAAACATTCAGTCAATGGTTTAATCCCTATCACCTGCGCAGAACAAGCAAACGCATATTAACCTTTCAATTAAAGCAGTGCCCTCCGATCTGTTCTTATGCAAAGAATCAAACCAGGCTCCATAAAGAATGGAGTAGAATACGCAAAACTTCTCCCACAGTATTACAGCCTATTTATAACTCACAGAGGAGGGAATTCTCAAAATAGCCTATTCTTGAACAGAAATATCTTTACTCTGAAAGTTAAAAAAAAAAAAAGTCTGAACCAACCAGTGGAACTCCATATCATATACAATAACAAAACTGGGAAGTTATACTCCATGTATGTACAACGTGTCAAAATACGTTCTGTCCTCATGTATAACTAAAAAGAACAAATGAAAAATTCTTTAAAAGAGTCTGAACCAAACTGATAGTTTGTGAAAAATTGCCATTGCCCATCTTCCCAGAATCAGGGGAGGTGTTTTCCTGTCTCTTCCACCAGCACAAACTATGGTCTTCTTGACCTTCAAATCCATTACAGGGGCCCTGTCAGAAAACAAATGGAAGGCCAGGAGCCCAATCTTATCAAGTTTCACTGAGTTGACATGGAATGTAAAGTAGAGAGGGCTGATATGGAACCAAATCTCTACACTTAAACACTCCCATCCTCCCCAGCAAAACCATGAGAGCAATGCATAACTCCCTTTCCACAAGGTGTTTATCCGAAGTACTTTGTAGGTTATTTGGAGCCTCTTGAAAAAGGAGACTGAAGTCATCATGGTTGCATATGAATTCTATCACGTCCCTGTCACAATACGTTGGATTAACAACAAAAGAGGAATTTAGGAAATATACTCACCCCAGTGCTAAGATTACCGCTGTTAACACAGCCAGCCAGACAGGGGTTAAAGTACGTAATTCCATCTGATCCACACACTGGCTCATATTCATGAATCTTACAACCACAATTAACATTGCAGCTTCCTGTCAGGTTCCTATGAGGCATGGTCAGAGAAGGTCTGAGACAAAGGAAACAAGCCAGGAGCAGAATTAAAATGAAAGCAAGAGGAAACACCTTGATATTTAGTGATTTGTCCACATTAGCAAAGATGTTCTCATTCATCAAAGCTACAGCATCATGAAACAGCTGCCCTCCATCATTACAGGAATTTACAACACAACACAAAAAGTTTCAGCTTTCTAGTATTGCGGATTCAGTAGTTTTTTTAGATCAAATTATCTGTCCCGACTCAATTTTATCCTTCACCTTGATGCTACAGAACTGGTCCTATGTGTAGGCCCAATAATTTGAATTTTTATATAACTCCTCATTTACTGTAAGCACTTGGCTGTATGTCTTAACATATTTGGGCTGAAACTCCTTTTTAAAATTTTTAATTTATTATTGTCATTGTTATTATTATTAGTGTGCTGGGGATTGAGTCCAAGCCTTATGCATGCTAAGCAAGCATTCTACCATTCAGTCCTATTGTTTGGTTTGGTACCAGGGATTGAACCCAGGGGCGCTTAATCACTGAGCCACATCCCCAGCCGGTTTTATTTTTCATTTTGAGACAGGGTCTCACTAAATTGCTTAGGGCCTCACTAAATTACTGAGGCTGGCTTTGAACTTGCAATCCTCCTGCCTCGGCCTCTGAGCCCCTGGGATTACAGGTGTGCACCCACTGTGCCCAACTTTACTTCACTTTTAATTAACATAGAAGAATTGTACACATTTACAAAGTACAATATGATGTTTCAATACATTGTGTGATAATCAAATCAGGGTAAATTACCATATCCTCCATCTCAAACATTTATCAATTTCTTAAACTGGTAAAACAGAGAAAATACTTTTCAGTATTGAACCAACAATATCATTGTGAGCACATAAATACATCAATCAGAGTTATCAATATTGGTTCCTTTAAACAAAAACTTTAATGGTTCTGGAATAACTTCTCAAAGAAAGAGATGGAACCTGGGAGATCAAAAGGAATGATTTGCAAAGATGATTGGTTAGAAATCACATCACCAGTTGGATTCAAACAAGAATGATTAAACTAGCTCTTTACTCAGGAATACCCAAATGAAGATGCACAATCAAATGTGGTGGGAATTTTTTTTTCCATAATATCATGGAGTCTGATAGAAAGAAATGGTACACTGTGAAAGCTCTCAGAAAATCAATTCTGGCAATCAGTATAAAGGGAGGGGAGAACCAGTGGAATACAGGGCAGGGGAGAGAAGTGCACAACATCAGTGAGGAGCAGAGGCAGGCTGGTCCCCAGAGGAGACCACAGAGGAATGGAAGCAACCACAGTGCTCATAATCATGACTCTGTGCTTCTGTCATCACGCCACCCTCCATGAATCACCGATGAAATATTAGTCCTAAGGCTAAGTGACTTAGCAAAAGCATATCCTTCACTCATCCATCCATCACACATCCATTCAAAAAATATTTTGGAATGTCTGTATGTGCCACAGCCTATCTTTAATGACTATGTTAGTGCTATTTATCCAGTTGCATAGTCCATCCCAATCCTTATAGTAACCTATAAATTTAAAGTGTTGTTTGTTCCAAGGCTTTTCCCCTCCGTGGCCTTTCACTGATAACTGAATTCTCAGATGTCAGTGGGAGAAACAAATTCAAAGCAATATTGAAGTTCTATCAAGAAAGCCTTCTAACATGAAAGTGATATCAATCCTGTTCTTCATTCATGTCATTCCACAGAAAACAATTTATCACAAGACTTTGGTAACCATTATGTTCATTACTGTTCATATCCAAACATTTTAAAGTTTGAATATACCTAACTAAACAAAATAACTCTAGACCAGTGGTTCTCGACTGGGTCAATTTTGCTTCTCCCCACACCCCGCCATGAGAACATTGGGCAATTTTGGTTGTCACAACCACGGGGATGCTATTGGTAACTAGTAAGTAAAGGCCAGGGATGTTGCCAAATATCATGCAATGCACAGCACATCCCCCTACCTCTCACAATAAAGAACAATCTGGACCAAATGTCAGTAATGCTAAGAATAAGACCTCAGACCAATGACCATATGCCAGGCCAACTACCTATCCCATCCTACCGAGGATGAAATGGCTTAGGACACCAAGACATTCACCCTAAAGCTGAGTAGTGCATGTTAACTGATTTTAACTGCTATCATATGAAAAGTATTCAGTGGGAACGAATATTCTCTTTACCAGCTCTTTAAGAACCAAAATGCAAGCCAGGACTACCTAAAATGGGTTTTACATGCCTGCAGGCTTAGTCACGAAAAATGGCAGGCTTCAATATTGTACCAAGGGTTACTAGTGTTGCTATTTACTTGGTATTTCCTATTAACAAAGTGCGTTTACTTCATATATGGCCACAGAGTTCAAAAACCTTGTCCTTTAAGAATATGTACCTCCAAGAGGAAGGAACCTGAAGAAAACATCAACATGCTGGAGACACACTGACCACAGGAAGACAAAAACCTCCATGAGGTTAGGAGACAGAGGCACAGTCTCAGGTCACCTTGGGTATGTTTGCTTTTCTCAGGGATCATGGGATACAAAAAAATGGTACCATATGAAAAGCTCTAAGAAAATCAAATTAGGCAACAAATTTAAGTACCAGTGAAAGGAAGTGGGCCTTCGTGAAAAGTCACTAGGGGAAAAGACAGTTGTGGAACAAAAGAGAAGGCTGCTGATGAGGTTCACCCTTTACACTATGCTGATTAAAATAGAAACTTTCTTCAGAAATAATGTCTTCTTTGATTTTAATTCACTCTCCAGAAAACAACCTTGATTCTAATAATAGTGCAAGCGTTTAAACCTGAATAACAATATTTCACTAACAAGAAATGAACCCTGGATGGCAGCAGAAATGCACAAGAAGTACTTACTGTGGACTGCACTTATCCTTGGGCACAGGGTCCACACACCACCTTTCCAAAGAAATGAAAGCATCTCTGGCAACACAGTTGCTTTCCAAATGAAATATTCATTTTAACTCATAAATCAATGTAAGTTTTGATTTCAAATAAGGCAAAGGGCCTTGCTAGCAAATGCCTCATAATTGCATGTTCCAAACTGCTAACTTGAGAGTCACACATCTATATTACTATAAAAATCATGGAATTATAGAGACAGAGAGATGGAAGGGGTCTCTGAGATTAGCTAGTACGTTTGCTAATTTTAAAGAATAAGGAATGCTAAGAGATGGAGTGATGTACCTCAAGAAAATCTAAGGAGACAAAAAAGAGGTGGAGGGAATTAGAAGGAAAATATAACAGCAATATTGCCCCACTTTTATCAAATCAATGTTTATTTAAAGTGATATATAGAAACAAAACAGATTTTAATATAAGTAAAAGAAAAAAATCTCTGCTATAAGGCCATTACACCTGAGTATGTAAGAACACAGTTGCCCTAAACACACACAAACACACACCAGCAGTTGTGTCCCATCACCTACCCTAAGACCCTAAGACCACTTGAACTTCCCCAGCTAACACACTTCTTCCGGTGTCTATAATTCAACGAGGAGATCCCTCACCTTTTTGTCCTCATTGATCCCTATTAAAAGATATGACAATTTAATCATATTAAAAGATATGATAGGAACCTGTGCATACTGTGTTCAAGTCTCATGGAGGAATGGAGTATGATCCACACACTGAAACACACTAATCAGTTAGGGGGGAAATGTACACTTGTCATTCTTAATATTTATTAATTGATCTCAGCCCTCAAGAAAAATTCAATTAGAATGTCTCAATTCCACTTAAATTTTTGGCTTTGTATTAAAATTCTTCCTTGACTATATAAAGCTATGCAACTTCAGGTTTATAGTTATTATTATCCCGATACTCATCATTATCACTTAAAAATCACATTAGCAGAGCTCTATTTTTCCTCTATACAGTGTGCACTGAGATCTCTACACATAAGTTAGCCCATTCAGTCCTCATGAGAACTACAATTGCTCTTCCTGATCAAGCAAAGAAACTGGATTTGAGAGGGCAGGTACTGCCCAAAGTCACACATTTATCTAGAATGAGTCAGAAATGGACTTAAATCCAGTTTTATCTACCTCCATAGTATGTCCTCTCAAGTCTCTATGCTAGCAGGGCAGTTTTATGTAACTGTCCACAGTTTTGCTTTCTCTAGCACAAGTCTTCTGGGTAGCTTATCCTGCTTCCTTCTTCCTGGAGAAGGTTCTAATGTTGCTTTCGTGACACAGCTTTCAGTGATCCTGAGTATTAGGCTTAGAAAGACCTGGGTGTAATTCCATCTCCACAATTCACAAAGGCGATGAACTTTGGATTTTACGTTTGGAAAACAGATATTCAAATATCTCCATCACACAGTTGTGAAAGGGATTTGGTGAATAAACATATGTCCAGTGTCTAGCAATGTGCCTCAAACATACAGGCTCTAAGGTGTTGATATTCTCTCCACCAACATGAGGCAGAAGTATTAATGGATAAAAGTTACAGAATCACAGGCTGGGATTGTGGCTCAGTGGTAGAGCACTTACTTGCCTGGCATGTGTGTGGCCCTGTATTCGATCCTCAGTACCGCATATAAATAAATAAATAAAATAAAAGATCTATTTACAACTAAAAAATATTTTTTAAAAAGTTACAGGATCACAAACATGAATCGTACTAAAGGTCTTCATTGTGTTTTTCTTTTCAAAAAACAAAACGTTTTTTTTTTTTTTTGCTCCTACAGAGAATAATGGGAAAAGAACTAGCTTGGACTCTAGTTTCAGGCCTGCCATTTGGTAGCTGCAGGACCTTGGGTCAGAGCTTTTCACCTGTGCTATCATGGACCCTTCCTGCCTACACAGAGAGCAAGGATAATCAGTGAAAGGTAGTATATGATAACAGCACAGGTTCACTAGAGGGATGTGGTTGTAGAAGTTGTGATCACGGCATCCAGTTGTTATTTCTATTGTTAAAGCTTTCTTCTGCTTTTTAGCCAGAAAATTCAAACCAGGTAGAATGTGACA